CACAAAGTGATATCAACGATGCTAAAGAAAAATTAATCTTAGAACTTATAGTGAAAAAAAGACAGTTTAGCACAGCACTACTACATCGTATGGCGTAAAAACAAGCAGTTCCTTACGTCTGGCCGCTGACGAGCGTTTTCGAGTGTTGACACTGTCTTCAGATGTACTAGGAGATTGATGATTAGCCGGGCGGTTATCGCGTCCCTGAACAGAAACTGGTCTCACTGAGTAGCAGAGAACCTTATAATGTTTAAATATCTGAAAGCAATATATACCTCAGCTTCCCTTCCACGATTGTCCGCTTTTTCAGATGACGTTAGGCGAGATCTAAAAAATGAAAACTGTCAAGTAGCTCAGCAGATCTGGACAAAAGCCACTGCTTATGAAAAAACCGTACATTTTCGGAATCCTCGCCAGTTCAGCGTCAAAATCAGGTGGACTTTCCTCAAGCTCTATAGAACATCGACGATTCTTTGGCTCGACTTCGGACTTGCTCAGCTCGCACGTCATAGGAGAAATCTAATTACTGTCTCATATGATAAAAATCCACATGACAAAAGTCAGTAACTTTTCTCAGTAAACGAACCTGTGCCACAGGCTTTGTATAAGTGCGTTCGGAACTCCTGGTAATGGGGTGATCAGGAAACACAGCTGATGTCCTGAAAGCCATACTCTGTGTTAACAAGCCCACACCGGTATCAGCGTAGTCAGGTTACCGTGGTATGAAAAGGATTATCAGTGATCGGACTCGAAGCCAAATCGCATGGACACTTCCGCGGATCCTGGTCCTGTATGGGAAGGAAAGGCCGCAGCTGCAGTAGGGTGCCACTTTCCTGGTCGAAGTGCATAAAGGTTGATGGATAGTGATGCCGGCCCCTTGCTCCATCCGCGCTGTAGCGTCCGGCCAGCCCCACTGCTGACCATAGCCATTCGGTATCACTACCATTCAGCTCATTTCCGTGCCCTCTCGAGTGACGACAGTGTTACACTTTTACAGCTGCCAACACGACCTTCTTGCACTTTGCAAGGAACGCCGAAGAAGTATTTTACAACTCTTCAAAGGGCAAACCTGGGCAAACATTAACAAAAAAGTCCGCCTTGTTCAGAACGCTCTGATGTGCACTTTTTGGAAACTACATGTCTCCATTGAAGGATGAAAGCCAGGGCAACTCGCTAACCACTTAGAGCAGCGAAACGATAAGATTAGAAGCCTTCAATTTAGAGGGGAGGCAAA